AAATAATGTAACAATATGCAGTGTGTGTGTGTGTGTGTCTGTGTGTGTGTGTGAGCACGGTGTTGTGTCCAACTCTTTGGGACCCCAAGGACTGTAGCCTGCCAGGCTCCTCTGTCCATGGGATTCTCCAGACAAGAATACTGGAGTGGGTTGCGATTTCTTCCTCCAGGGGACCCAGGGATGGAAACTGTGTGTCCTGCATTAACAGGAATATTCTTTACCATTAGCACCACCTGGGAAGCCCTATAATAGGCAGGGTTTTATATTTTTAAAACATATTTTGCAACAAGACAATAGCCTAGTAAGCCAGGGAATTACTCTGAGGAGTTTCACAAATTCCTTTCCCTTTTGTTTATGGTGGAACCTGGGAGACACCCATGGGATGATTCTCTTTACAGTGTAAAGGGTATGCCCGGTTCCCCCTGGTCACCTGCCTCAGCTTGACCCTAGGATAAGACAAAGGTGGGGGTGGAGGAAGAGAGGGAGCAAAATATCAGAGTCTCACAGGTAGCGAAAAAGAGGTAACTGATTTTGATTACAAGGGAATTTAGGTTGTTACTACACCATGACGCCATGAAGAACTCTTTTGAAAACCATAGGATCAACGCTGGAACATCTTTAGTACTCTTTTGTCCAGCAGTTTTGTTCAATAGAAACCTGTAATGATGCCATAAGGACAAAACCACCAAGAGTTCAGATCATACAGGATTGAAGGCTGGAATATGCCATCAAGTCAAGAGCCCTGTCCAGCTGAGACATGGGCGGAAGTGAGAGAAGGTGGAGCAGGCAGAGTGAATGCAGCTGTGACTGTCATCTTCCGCCTCATGTCCAGTTACAAAAGTGGGGACTGCTTCAAGGATTTTACATTGCTTGATCATTTCAAGTCTCTCCCTTGACTCTTACTAGAAAGAGCCCTGTAAGTTGAACTTGAAAGTTGTTAGTTGCTTGGTTGTGTCCAGCTCTTTTTGATCCCCATGGACCATAGTCCACCAGGCTCCTCTGTCCAGGCAAGAATACTGGAGTGGGTAGCCATTCCCTTCTCCAGAGGATCTTCCTGACACAGGGATTGAGCCTATATCTCCTGCACAGACTGAACATGTGCATTGCAGGCAGATTTTTTTTTTTTAACCACTGAGCCACCTGGAAGCCCAGAAAGAGGCCTGGGTGGTAGCTATCTCCTAGATTTTGGTGAGAATATGACTGAATTGCTATCATCTCCCAAGGTTTCAATGGGAAGTTTTTCACTCCCTGTGCTGGGAATGTAGTTTCCACTTAAATGAAAGAAAACAGGTGTGGAGATCAATTCTCTGTCCTTTTCCATTCTGCTCTCTGACCCACTGGAGATTCTGTTTTTTTCCCCTTGTTTCCACAATTCTTTCTTTGACAACAGACAATCATGGTAACAGGTCTTTTGTTGTTGCTGTTTATATTTATTATATAAAATTTTCACCTAGGTCTTATTCTGTTCATTTGTTCAAGTTGGAAAAATGGAAATAGGAATAATATCCCAAGATGTGGTACACCAAAAGAAAATTCTCTCCAAGATTAGAGCAATTTTATCTGGCTGTGAGGAAGCCGAATAAGGCCGATTCACATACCACATGCACCATCACTCAGAGGTACCAGACTGTGACATTTGTAACCCAACCTCATCTTGTTTTATTTTATTATTTAAAAAATTTTTTGCTCTGGCCACATCACATGGCTTGTGGGATCCTAGTTCCCCAACCAGGGATCAAACCTGTGTCCTCAGCAGTGAGAGTGCAGAGTCCTAACCATGGGACCGCTGGGGATTCCCTCATCTTGTTTTAGCACTCCATGCCCTGTGATGCTGGAAAACACTTGGCCTTCTCAGCCTAAAATTTACAGGCGGAGTAAAGAAAGCAAGGGAGCTCAGGGGAAATGGTAACAATAACATGGTCTCAACTGCAGACTGGCTTTAGCCAGATCCCACAGAAAAGCTCTGGCACAAGAACCGCCACAGACCTAGTCCCAACATGATGGGAGGAGTTGGCCATTTGTTGGCTGAGGGGTTTGCTCTAGCTGGGAGCTTAGTGTCCAGGCGAGGCAGCTCCCATTTGGCAGAGGGCTATTCTCCGGAGAAGGAAATAGCTGTGAGTTGTCATAAACCAACACCCAGTGCAGTGGAGGGGCAGGTGCGCTGGTCAGCAAAGAAGCTTCGAGCAGGGCACCAAAGTCAAATCAAAATCATCCATATATGATGTAACATTCAATGTTTTAATGCTGACAGTACCAATGCTTGTTCTTGAAAGATTAAGGAAAGGTTTTAGAATTAGAAACTTCTTGTTCAACAAAGCCAAGTTTTGTCTAAACATTGATTCACAAATATTTTTAAAGTCTATTTTGAAGCCCATTGGAAAACAATGATCTCTTTCTTTTTTTCTTTTTTTTTTTTTTAGATTACGTCTCCCAACCCCATAATTCAACAGGTGAGAGAGCCTATATAAAGTCAGAAACAACGATATGCTCTTTCCCCTAAATGTCCATCCACAGATGCATGGATAAAGAAGATGCGGTATATATGTACAATGGGATGTTACTCAGCCGTTAAAAGGAAGGAAATCATGCCATTTGCAGCAACATGGATGTGCCTAGAGATGATCATACTAAGCGAAGTAAGTCAGACAAAAAAAGCAAGTACCATATGATACCACTTGTATGTACAATCTAAAATATGACACCAGTGAACATATCTGTGAAACAGAAACAGACTCACAGGCATAGGAAACAGACTTCAGGTTAACAATGGGGAGGGGTATGGGGGACGGAAGGGGTGGGAGTGTGGAGTCAGCAGATGCAAACTATTATATACAGGATGGGTAAACAACAAGGACCTAATATATAGCACAGGGAACTATATTCAATATCCTGTGATAAACCATAGTGGAAAAGAATATGAAAAAAAAATATATATATATATATATAACTGAATCACTTAGCTTTACAGCAGAAATTAACACAACACTGTAAATCAAATATACTTCAATAAAATTTTTAAAAATATGTGTTTCCTTAACTCAAAATATCCCTGTTCGATTGACTTTTCCAACCTGCCTGCCCATTTTTAAAAAGTTATCTACTTGTCTCTTTTTATCCCCGCTTTGTATGGATAAAATCCCAAATGAGAATCTCTCAGGAAGGATTATATTTTCAGACACAGGCAACGGCAGAGACTACACCAGACTATTCAAGTAGAGGCGTGATCGGTTTATTGTAAGAATCTCCTGCGGCATAATAAGGGAGAAAATTGATCATGGAAATCCAGGACCAAGAACTGCAGTATGCTTCGTTCACAGGGAGAGAAATGCTGGGGTTATTTCATACCCAAGGAGGCTTCACCACCTTGGCCACAGGCGTGCTGTTCCACCACCAATGCGGTCCAGTCTTTCTCTGCCTATCTGTTTTATTATATTAGAGAGGGAGGGGAAAAGAGAGGTGGAGGAAGGAAGGGAAGGAGGGAGAGTGAGAGGGATAGGGAGGGAGGGAGGAGGGAGAGAGAGGGAGGGATCTGCATCTCTTCCCACCACTGTTGTTGTTCAGACGCTAAGTCATGTCCAACTCTTTGCAACCCCATGGTCTGCAGCACTCCTGGCTTCCCTGCCCATCACCAACTCCTGGAACATGCTCAGATTCATTTCCATCGAGTCAGTGATGCCATCCAACCATCTCATCCTCTGTCACCCCCTTCTCCTCTTGCCCTCAATTTTTCCCAGCATCAGGGTCTTTTCCAATGAGTGGCTACTCATATCAGGTGGTCAAGTATTGGAGCTTCAGCTTCAGTCTTTCCAATGAATATTGAGGGTTGATTTCCTGTAGGACTGACTGTCTTGATCTCCCACCACCATTAGCTTTTGCTATATCACTCCTTCTGCTTATTCATAACTGCATCTTACATAGGGCTCTCTGTAACTAGAACACTACTGCATGGACTCTCCATACATTCTATTATCTTCACCTGCTTTATTAGCAGCATCTTTTTTCACATTCCTGTGGGAAGAAACAGCCATTCTGGCACAAGGTCTCCATTTCCAGTTCAATCACTTGGTTCAACCAAGTGCCACCTGGTCAGAGAGGGTGATGGCAGCTCCAGCCACACCAGACTGTTTCTTGAATCTTCCTTTCCACAAACTGAAATGCCCCTAAAATAGTTCTTGAAGCCTCTTTCCTATGTTTGTCCAGTTTTTTCTTGGCCTGAGATTTCCCCCCCAAAATGTCTCCATGAGAAAGATACGGCTCATGTTGCCAGCAGATTAGAAAATTCGAGTTATTCTTCTTGTTGCCATAACCCAGGGACACAAGGAGGGTGCCAGGGCTAATCCAGATAATCCTAGCCTAGAGCAATGAGTATGAATGAGGATAAAGTGTGGTTACAGAATTCCCAGTACTGGTTTGGGATGATTTTGACACAAGTCTTTGCATTTACATTCAGAATGGGATAAATAAAACAGACATTTATGTGATTAAAACAAGATTTGATATTACTACATTACCTAAAGTTGGCTTCTCAGGTGGCTCAGGCTGTAAAGAATCTGCCTGCCAATGCAGAAGACCCAGGTTCAATCCTTGGATCGAAAAGGTCCCTTGGAGAAGGGAATGGCAACCGAGTACAGTATTCTTGCCTGGAGAATTCCATGGACAGAGAAACCTGGTGAGCTACTGTCCATAGGGTCACAAAGAGTCGGATGTGACTGAGTGACTAACACTTTGCATTTCCATATAGGACATAATGAATAACCAATTGAAATCCCAACAATATCCATGGCAGTACCATCATAAAAAAACCAAAACCCTGTAAATAGGGATTTGCAAAAATTCTGTCTGGGGCTCCATCATTAATGATGGCTACGCTTTTAACTACCTGCTGGTTTTCTCACTGTCCGCCACTGGTTAGAAGAGGAGAACAAAATATAGGTTTGGCAAAAAAACATATAGGGGATGGTGAGTTGAAGAATAATCAAAACTCCAGGAGAGATGCAGAACTAGACACCTTCGGGGAGGTTGCAGTAGCTTTTATGTTTGCAACAGATGAGCTCCGTCCTCTTCTCAAAACTTAAGAAGTTGATGTCCTCACAGTTGGCCTTACATGACAGTTTTGAATAATAATACATACTCCGCCCTGAGGAGGTGAAAGAAACGGAATACAACCAGGATGACTCTGTTTTCTCCTACCATATTCCTAGGAATCACCTCTCTTCAGACCTTCACTGACTTTTCTCTAGACTCTAGTGAGCTAAAAGACACAGTCTATTAATTACTGACCCAGAGAATGGATTTTATTTTCTAACTTAGAGGGGACATTTACCTCTCCTTCACTCAATACTGTCTTACAGAAAAGTCCATCTTTGCAGGACCATCCCATCCTCACCCATCCGACTCACCCATATGTTCTAATGACAAAAGGAAGCGGCTGCCTCTAAGTGGGGGAAAGGTGGCTCCTTCTCAGTTCCTCTATGCCCACTCTACCTTTCTTGGTGAGGAAGTAAATGTTTTCAACAGCACATGTCTGTCTGTGCTTCAGGTTGCAGGACCTCATGGATTCATAGCATATCCCGAGATGATATCTTTTACATTTGTAACACATCATTGAAGGCTCTGCCAGACACAGAAAGAGGTGCTTATAGGATGCAGTTTTATGGTGAAGGTTCTCCGGGCTGGGGGGCTTCCCAACAGGAACTTTACTGCCTAGTGCTCCCCAATTTTTCTTGGGACCCTGACTCCTTTGATAATCTTGTGAAAGCAAACTTATACAGACATAAATCAAACACTGAATGTAATTTCAAGAGGTCAGAGTTTCCCTAAAAATTCATCTCTGGTCCCCAAGTAATGAGCCCCTTATCTAGCCTGATGATTTTGTTCAGTAATGGAGAAAAGGAAGCAAAGACAGGGATTTTAGCTTCCTAACTTCACGAAATGGACTAAATTGGTAAGATCAAACTCCCAGGATTTTACAGTAAGAATGGATTACAGCTTTCTCAAAAGAGGGAGGGGGAGGTTTACACCTAGAGTGTCACCAATAACCTTTTTACTGAGGACTTGAGACTAGCCATGGTCGTACCTGTCTCATGTTCATGAAATTCACCTGTGAAAAGAGAAGTTTTTTCTTATCACAGCTGCATATACATCTGCCAAAGCCCCAAGAGCCAATTCTGGAAATTTCTCCTCCCCTAGCACCTTCCTTTCTCTTAACCAACAACCAGCCCGCCCTTTGCCCCCAGGACTTACCCTTACTCATGCAGACTAGAATGACAATGCACAGCAGAAAGGGAACAAACATCCTGCGACTTTGGTCACGTGCAGTTAGTTGCCTGTGGAAGGTACTGGCTGATCTCCATCGTGTTCTGTCCTTGGGCTATTCTTCTAAATCATATAAGCATATAATCGTAAAATTTCAGTGACGAGCAGTATCTCAGTGTTCCTAGAAAGAACCAAAGCACCAACTGCAGCCCGCTGCCCATAAACCATCTATTTTAAAATTCTCCTCTATAGCTAAGCCTTGGCTCTGCTAGGAAAGACAAGTCTCTTTGCCACATTTTAACCTTTTAAGAGAGGGTTTGGATACTTTCATTCCTTTTAGCTCTTTTTGATAATCTCAGAATAATCAGATTTGTCATTGTCTCACTTAGACTGAGGCGTGTGCTTCAGTCATATCCAACTCTTTGCGGCCCTGTGGACTGTAGCCCACCAGGCTCCTCCGTCCATTGGATTCTCCAGGCAAGAATACTGGAGTGGGTTGCCGTGCCCTCCTCCAAGGGATCTTCCTGACATAGGGATCGAACCCTGCCTCTCTTTTGTCTCCTGCATTGGCAGTCGGGTTCTTTACCACTAGTGCCACTTGGGAAGCCCTAGACTGAGGCACCAGGAATTAAATTCAGGATTTCAGGTATTGTCTGAATGTGAGGGAAACACTGAAGTGTCCCTGCTGTGGTGTAGGAAAGGGAAGTTTCAGGAGAAGGAGAGATGTGCCTACTTTGCCTTCAGGTGTTATCAATTAATTGATGTCTTTTTAAAAAGTAAATATTTTCTACACACATACCAAATGCCAGTATTATCAAAAGAGAAGATACCAAGCAAATCAGGCCACTAATCTGCAGCATCACGAAGGTTAGAGGCTAGTTAAGGTGAACACAAGTACATCAACCACAGCTGACTTGGAGGCCTAGATAACGGATATTCAAATTTGACTGTGTGACCAGGGAAGGTGTCCCTGAAGAAAGGGTACTTGCAAAGGAACTCTGAAAGCTAGTGATGTGCCATTAATAGCTAGAATAAGTGAATAGGGTTGTGGTCGTTGTTGCTCAGTCACTAGTGTTGTCTGACTCTTTATGACCCCATGAACTACAACATGCCAGGCCTCCCTTCACTATCTCCCAGAGTTTTCTCAAACTCCTGTCCATTGAATCAGTGATGCCTATACCCATCTCATCCTCTGCTGCCCTCTTCTCCTTCTGCCCTCAAGCTTTCCCACCATCAGGGTCTTTTCCAATGAGTCGACTCTTTGTATCAAGTGGCCAAAGTATTAGAGCTTCAGCTTCAGCATCAGTCCTTCCAATGAATATTCAGGGTTGATTGCCTTTAGGACTGACTGATTTGATCTCCTTGCAGTCCAAGGGACTCTGAAGAGTCTTCTCCAATACCACAATAGGGTGGTGAATAAGGACAGGCACCCAAAGGCACAGCAAATGTCCAAGTTCAGAGATATCAAGCAACCTGCCACATGGGGATGAGAGCTGCTCATGTGGTTCTAGAGACATGGGTGAGCAAAAAACTCAGAGAGATGCATCTTGCTGGAGGTGATGGCAGGTAAGGAGGGAGAGGGGCTGCAGGGGACGATGCTCGGTGCTTGCTACTGAGATTACTTAGTCCCATACACATAAAGTGGGATTTCTTGCTCACTATTACAATTGCAAGATGTCAATGAAAAGCATCATTTTTCCCAGGACTGGAAAAGACATCAAAGTACCCACTCTTCTGTACCGATACTAAATTCTAGAAAGGACATCTCCCTTTATCCCAGGCTCAAGTTTGGTACTCATGTGAGTTCAGATTCTGGTTCCGCTGCTTGCCAATGTTGTGACTCTGGGTATGTTACCAACATTGAGAATGAATTTTCATCATAAGATTGGTGTTAGTAGTATATTCAAGTCTGCGTGAAGGCCTTGGAAACTATCAAACATGAATCCCTTGTACAGGGCTTAAAACTTCAGGAGCAGCCTGGGTCCTTTTGCTAGGGTAGGTGTCAGAAACTTCAGTCAAAAGGAGCCATGTATGGGAAAGGGCACCTGGCCAGGAAAGCTACAGGAAAGGCTGTAGCTGCGGTTTTGGCATTCAAGGGTCAAGAACCTGGCTGTGAAGATGATAATTGGGAGCATCACGTCATATGTTGTTTCATCAAGGCTTCCCTTGAGCTTTGGGTGTTGGAAAAGATGGAAAGACTGACAGCTTCTTCTGGAATGAACTTTGAAGACACCATCAGTTTCAGAATAAACTGTTCAATTTGCTTTGGGTGGGTTAGCAGCTGGGAACTAATTGAGTTCTGATTCACTGAAGACTGCATGAGACCTGGGTCTGTTCTCACAGCTTGAGCTTGAGATCACCCATGTGCTGATGACACCCAGTTTTATATCTCTACCTCTGACCTCTATTTTGAGTTCCAGCTTCACATCCACAAATATCCATTCTACTTTAGAAGGCCCACAGATACCACAGTACATTGTTTCCAAGAGAAAATTCGATGGGTGAGGGATGAGAAGTAAGATCAGAGAGTCTAGTGCGTGGGCAGCATTGCGAAATTCTACAGTCCTAACTGGAAATAGGGAAGAGGTTCAAAACTCAGTGGGGCTTTCAGAAAATATCTGCCAGAGGGCACCTTGAAGGCAGTAGCAGAGAAACTGGGCAAACCCTCTGCGGTTTAACCTAGACTTTCTTCTTCCTTTGCTTTGATTCTAGAGTCACTCTCTTTAAAGATAGAGAAGAGGAAACAGGTGGCACATAAAGGTTCAGAAGCTTGCCTTCTTGATAAGCCTTTGGAAAGTCCTGAAAAATGCTATCCCAGTTTCTAACATCTTCTTCTGAAAGATGGAAGACAGAAAACTGGAGTCGTAGACTTCACGAAGTTGATTTCTAGAATCAATTATTTTCAAAGGAACAGACTCTCTCATTTAAAGGCCTATGGCTCTCTTCTCAGGCAGATGGACTCAACACTGTGCTCACATAAAAGGAACATCATAAATTTCATGGCACTTGAGCTAAGGCTTGATTTCACCCAATCTTTATCTTCATCTAAAAATGTCATACTTGAGACATTTTGAAGAACATACTGTTCCTACAGCTAAAGAACATGGCATTAAATGAGTCCACGATAGAAGATTCCTATTATCTCTAGCCAAAGTACCATAAGTTCACTGATGGGTCAGTGAAATGTCAGAGATTGACAGTGCCTGAACCAGTCATAGTTTTCCAGTAGTTTACCCATGGTGAACCTTACCTGGGTTAATTTTTGTAGAGACAGATCCCTAAAGCATGTGGGCCAAACTGGCCAGATACACAATATAAATTCGCAAAAGATCAAGCCATGTGATAATCCTAGAGATGATTTCACAGCCCTACAAAGTAAATATCTCCTGGCCTTGGAAAACAGATTTCTGGTAAAATGAAAGAGCTCTGGGCTGAGAATCAGAAGTTCTAATTGGAATACCCAGCTTAGTCATGGATGATCCCTTCTTTTTACCTCTTTCTCTCTTCTTTTGCTCACCCATAAGGCGTGGAGCTAGGTGAGCTTTTTTTTTATCTTATTTGTTGCCCTGTTCTCATACATGAAACTGTGCTTGGCCTATAAAAGTGCTCAATGAATACTAGTTGAATGTATGAACAGACCTCCAAGAGGCATTCAATCAAAATGGTTAAAGGCATGGCTTCTGAAACTAGAAGATCTTGCTCTGAATACTGGCACTATATCTTGGGAAAGATACTGGACCTCACCAGGCCTTAGCTTCCTCCTCTGTGAAATTAGGATAAGAATAATAACTGTGTTAATAATAATTACTAAGATGAATGATATATATATGGTGAATTTATATATATATATACAAAAAAAAAAAAAAAAAACAAAGTTAACTTCATGTAAATGCCAACATTTTTTAACTACCATCCTCTGTGCTGGGTGGAGAAAGCAAGAAACTGTGGTGCCCAGAGATGACTGTGTGGGCCTGGTTCCCCTCAGGCATGAATAATCCCTGCCCTGTGATGAAGAGCAAGGTTTCCTCTTGCAGCCTACGGGCCTGTGCGTGCCACCCCTGGCTTCTTTTCTTCCCGTGCGAGGTACTTCTCTGTCAAGATGGACAGATCCTTCTCGTTGCTCTTATTCCTCCTCTGCTGCAGTGTGGGTGAGTCAAGAGACTGCAGGAGTGGGCTCCAGAGCCAGGATCGAGGGGGCTCCCTGGGACACTCCGTACGTGTGGGTGGTGTCCAGGCTGGGCTGAGTCTTGACTAGATTTATATGGGAGGGGAAGCCAGCCTTTAGAGTGCTCCATGGGCCTCCGCGTCAACTTGTCCGACCTTTGTAACATTCTACCGTTCCCCACCAAGGGTTCAAGCCTCTACGTCTGCCCCTTCATAGGACTCCCCTACCACTCCGTCCCTACCATTCCCCATAATCAAAACTCTGGGCAAGGTCTCCCTCAGTACATCCTTCCCATATATAAATCTGTGCCCTATTTGCTGAGGGAGCTGGTTAGTCTACAGTGAATAATTTCATAGTTGGTTTTAGTGACATCAAGGGTTTTGATACCCTTACCAGTGATTTTTATATTCAAACAAGTGATTGTAGGAAAGAAAATACTGGATGCACTGGAATCAGACACGATAAAAAATAATTCAGTCACTGTCTTAAATTCTCTGGTTGCTCATCTGAGAAATGGGGAAATACCTAGTTACAAGGCTTTCGTGAGAATTAAATCAGATAACAAAGAAAGAGAACATGGCCCAAAAAAGATGCTTAAGAAATGATACTTTCTCATTTAGGTGTATTAAGGAGCATTTTTTAAAGTTAAACTTTATTTTGATCAGTCCCCCCCACAGTACCACATAAAGTGGCACCGACTGTGGTATATAATTCAGGAGGCTTTCACATAGATTCAGTTTGAAGTTCAAAACAGACTATATCACCTAACCATACCTATGTGATGAATGTCAGAAATCCCATCAGAGTAATGGGTCAAACACTTTAAAGCACTCAGCTTCATTATCCCACTCTATCTACACTGCTGCCAAGTAAACCAGGTTAGCATTAACAGAATCATCTTTAAGCCAGAAAATGCATGCCATAGAGGCTAAATCTTTGTTCAAAGTTATCAGGTTAAACGGGCTTCCCTGGTGGCAAAGATGGTAAAGAATTTGCCTTCAGTTCAATCCCTGGGTTGGGAAGATCCCCCGGAAAAGGGAATGGCTACCCACTCGTTTTTTTGCCTGGAGAATTTCATGGACAGATGAACCTGGAGAGCTACAGTCCATGGGGTCACAAAAGAGTCAGACACTTCACTTTCACCAGGTTAAAAGGGCTAAATTGGGGGTCAGAATCCTTTTACTCTCACAATGACATTTTTCCGGATGCGGAGCTGGTGAGGGCTCAAACTGCTTGCTACCTCATCCCAGTGCCCCCCCCCCCCCCGCCCCGCACTATCCCCCCAGCCCACTCCCAGGTCTAGACAGGTCTAGTTTCTTCTAAGTCTCTGCCTCCCCGGCCTTACACCAGCTCTGTGCCTTCCTGCAGTGACACCACTGAGATGCATAACCTGCCACCTTCGTACCCAGACAGATCGTTGTAGAAGAGGTTTTGGCATCTGTGTTGCTCAGAACCATGAGACATGCATGATCTTAAAGATCTTCCAGGGTAAGTTAGAGGGTCCGGGGAGGTGCTGTAAGATTCCTGGAAAATTCTTAGGAGAGTACGCCAGCAAATTTCTATCTCAGGCTAAGGTCAATTCAACAGAGGAACCAAAGTGCCACATACCCATGGGCACGGGCCCCTGTGCATGCAGACTGAAGAGGACTTGGGGAAACGAGCCAGGAGGAAGAAACATCAGTACAGAGGGTTGAGGTTTTCCAGGGAACTTAGGCCAATAAGTCCTGCAGGGGACCCGTGATGTCTTCATCTCCCTGCCTGAGTCCCCTTGGGAAGTACAAGATGGGAAGCCAACCCCAAACCTACCCCTGATGCCCTATTAAATCTTTACGGACAGGACTAGTGCCACGTGTGACTTGTCTTTAAAGAACTTAGATCACTGGCTGATTTTTCTCTGATTCCTTCTTATTATAGGTGGCACCCTCCAGTTATCGTATTTGGTGTGTCAGAGATTCTGCAGAGATCTGACATACAAGTTCCAGGACCGAACTTATGTTCACAAATGCTGCAACTACAATTACTGTAACTTCAAAGCACTAAAATACTTCTACTCCTGAGTTCTCCCTCTAAAATGTTACCAATACGTCTCTGCCTTCACAGTTGGCCTGCCCTGGCTTTTCTGCCCTGTCTGTTCTGGAGGGACCCCACCCCTGTCTGTAATTCAGTGTTATCCTTGCTGTTGCCTCAAGCTTGGTTTCTACCTCGGTCAGAGGATTACTATTCTGAACAACAGATTTCTCCCATTACGAGGACTGGCATTTCTGTACTTCAAGCTTACCCTCAGACGCACAGTAGAAAATTTTAAAATAAGACCATTCTAGACCCTGGTGGATTATCTTAGCTAGTGGAGGTGGACTAGAAATTCTTCAGCTGAAAATTCACAAAAGTTTTTGTCTGAAACTCACATTTATCATGATTATAGTTAGGCAGAAATAGCAAAGAAGCAAATGCTGAACACTTGAGATTTTCCTCTCTGGACAAAAATTATTGTCCCCAGTGGACAGTGTCCACCTCACACTCAGTCATGATTTTCTTGGCATTTACAAAGTGTCTCCATATACAATGCTAGTAGTGAACAGTAAATAAAGGACTTCTTACCTCTGTGGCATTCACAGCTCACATACAGCCACTTCTAGGCCTGGCTGTACATTACAACTCTCATTTCTTCCTCTTCCTCTTCCAGTTTTTCTCAACTCCTTTCCTCTTTTGCCACCCACTTCCACTCTGATTCACCATTGCTATACAAATTCTCCTTCCTCTGAATACCCAAGTCACTTTATAGGTACTTTTTTTTTTCTTCCTCACAAAAAAGGAATCACTTCTGTTTGTCTAATTTGCCCTAGAATGTTATAAATCACAGCAAGAACACATGCCTTATCTTACTCATCTCTAACTGCCTTTAGCTGGCCAATTAGACTTCATTGGGTTTAAAAGAGCTGCCAGTAAAGCTGATGGAATTTTTCTTGTCCATTTGTTTATCATGGTTTTTTGGTTTTTTACCTATTTTGTTGAGTATACTAAGAATGGTAACCACTACTCCCTACCAGACATGAACATTCACTCCAGTGCCAACATACCATGTGTCTTCCTCAAAGAAATTATGAAAAGGACATTTCTGATTATGGGACCCTCCAGTGTTCAAATATATTAACTGATAGAAAAATTTTTTTTGATGGGATTCTTCCAAAACTCATTACTTACTTCAATATTCAAAATTAAAACTATCATTATATCAAAGCCTTACAAAATAGGCCTGGAAGTTTAGAAAGGGTAATCTGGCCCAACACTTGAAAATATCTGAAGGCAGACATTTTCCTAGTTTTAATCATGTCAGGAATAATTATATAAGTTTTGTTGCTCTCAGATTTACCTATGCAATATAAAGTTTCCCTTCAATTGTGCATCTAACAGCTTTAGCCCCTACTGATTATTATTAGCGAGATCCGTCATTCATTATGAGATGAATAAGAATCTTCTTTTTGTAATATTTATTTTTAACTGATTGATGATTGCTTTACAATATTAGTTTGATTACTGTCACACATCAACATGAATTAACCATAGGTATACATATGTGCCCTCCCTCTTGAATCTCCCTCCCACTTCTGGCAATTATCTTCTTAATTGAAGTATAATTCATGTATAATAAAATGCACATATTTTAAGTATAGAGTTTGATGTGATTTGATAAGCAGATAAACCTATATAACCACCATCCCAATTAAAACATAGAATATTTTCATCATTCCTGTCAGTTTCTGTAAGTAACAATCTACTCCCAAAAGTATTATTCTTCCATCACCATAGAACTAATTTTATCTGTTCTTGAACTTATTATAAAGAAAATTATACAGAAAATACTGTCTTGAGCCTAGTTTCGATCACCCACCATAGTATTTTTTTTTTTTTACATATTCAAAGTGTTTAATTTTTCTAAATAATGCAGTTTTGCTAAAGTTACAATTTTGGAGAATTAACTGGCCTCCAGACTACTTGTAACCTTTCTGTCAAGTGTATCTGGCTCTCTACCATCTCAGTGCTTCCTACATTTCTCCCAGGACTTGGGGTGGGGTGAAGGTGGGTACAGGAGATTCTTTAAAGGTCTTCTGACTTGTAGAGCCCAGGAGAATCCTGGGTAAGGCCCTGGGCTTCTTGAATGCTGTGTATGGCAGCCTCTCTCTGCCCTTGTTCCCCAAGCTCCCTTTTGCCTTCCTCAGGTTTGATATTTGGGAGGTGTAATTATCCAGAGGAAATGAAATATTTTTATATCAAATGATATTACAATAAATATTGCCAAATGCTGTCCTTTAGTGTTGTTCCACATCTAAGTGTTGAGTTTAAGCAGTCGACATGTGGCTGATGAAATGTGTATGCCCATCCTCTCTGGGCCACCTGTGCTTCCTCCCTCCACCCAGTACTCTGGTGTGTGCTCAAAGGTGGACAGCACCAGGAACAAAAGAGCTGGCCTAAACACAGCAGCCAGTCCAGGACGTCTCTGTTTCCAGTCCTGCTGGGGGAGCCTCTCAGGGATCTGGGAGCTTGACGTCGTGATCTTCATCAGTCTCTATCCCAACTTCCTCAAAGAACTGCTTCTTGCTCTTGGGGTATCCTTCAAGGATGGCATCAGACAGCTCTGTTGCCATCCTCTTGCGCTTCCTCCACTCCTTGTGGTACCTCTGCCTCTCCTTGTACACCTGCTCTTTCTCTTCTGGAGTCACATGGTTGGTGGCCTCTTTGATGTTCTTCAGTCTTTCTCTGTAGCCAGCACATTCCTTCTTTAGCTCCTGGATCTCTTTCTGCATCTCCGGTGTGGTCAGGGCACTAGTTAACTCCTTCAGCTCTAAAACCACATCTCCCTGAAGTCAGTGGCTACTCTGAGGTAGGACACCAGGCCTCTACCTTGCTCTGGGCTCTTTCCACACAGGGTTCAGAATGGGTCTTATATTCTGGAAAGCCTCAACAAAGACTAATGCTTACAGAATTATCAGTTTATTCCAGTTTCCTTTCCTCCTAAATCTACAAACAGTTGGGGAGTATAAGTTTGAGTAGACTATTAGCTGTGGCCAGTTAAATAGGCAGAGTAAAGGGGAGTGTGGGAACTGTGTATTGATATCACAGTAGGGAACATAAATGTCTGTCTTGCCCATTTGTCTTCAAAAGCCCTTAGTTGTTAGACATTAAGTTGAATGTGACGCCTGTGTTGTTGTTATTTAGTGGCTAAGTCATGTCCAACTCTTGTGACCCCGTGGACTGCAGCCTGCCAAGCTCCTGTCCATGGGATTCTCCAGGCAAGAATACTGGAGTGGGTTGCCATTTCCTTCTCCACCACCATAGTATTTTTAAGACTCATGTGTTTTCACTTACACCAAAGCTTTGTTCTTTTCCCATTGTGTCCATACGCTGGGCTCCCCTGGTGGCTCAGACCGTAAAGAACCCACCTGCAATGTGGGAGACCTGGGTTCGATCCCTGGGTTGGGACGACCTCCTGGAAGAGGGCATGGCACCTCACTCCAGTATTCTTGCCTGGAGAATATCCATGGACAGAGGAGCCTGGCAGGCTATAATCTAAGGAGTCGCCAAGAGTTGGACACAACTGAGTGACTAAGCACAGCATAACACATACATACACTAACAATTGATTAAATCAATTCTCTTATTGATGGACATGAGTTGTTTTCAGCTTTGGGCTATTGTAAGCAAATCTGCTGTGAACATTCTCATATGAGCCGTTTTTAAATTTTTATCATGTAAGAATTTTGACAGTCACACACACTCATCTCTCTTGGGTGGGTAATTAAAAGTAAAATGTATGAGGCACAGGGTAGGCATATCCATAACTTAAAAAGAAACCACCAAACAGTTTACCAAAGGGGTGATACTAATATAGAGCCCTACCAGTACTGTGTGAGAATTCCACTTACTCAGGTAAGGAAATGATTCATTAATGTTTCCTGCCAATAGTTTCTAGGATTAAATTAACATTTTGATTACCCATTTTGAATTTATCCTTGTAAGAAATTGATCCAAGTGACTATATTTCCATGTGACTAGCCAATTAACCCAACAATATTTATTTAAAAGTTGGTATTTTTCTCAACTAATTTGATATGCCTCTTTCCATTAGCACTTAACACTCTGGGTTCTCAGTTAAATTTTTCTACACATTACCTCTACCTCACAGTATACACAAAAAGCAAATTCAAATTTTTTGGATTGTAGGTCTAAAGTGAAAAGTAAAACAATAAAACTTCCAGAAGAACGCATAGCATGTATTAATAACTTTGAAATATGCTAAAAGTTACTTAAACATCACCTAAACAGCAAAACCATTTTTAAGAATTGGTAAGTTAGATTTCATTAAAATGCACAATGTTGGTCCATCAAAATGTATCATTAAGAGAGTAAAAAGAGAAGTTAAAGACTTGGATAAGATATTTGCAATATTGATATCCTATATAGAATTTGTGTAAAGAACACAAAAAATCTTATCGCCTTCCTAGATTAAAAAAGAAAAAACAAGCTAAGAGAATTCATCATGACTAGATCTGACTTGCAAGAAAAACAGAAAGGAGTTAGTTAATACATGATGAAATAAAAATATGCTAATTAAAGACATGAAGACATATGGAAACATATAACACATTGGTACAGGTAAATATACAGTCAGAAAACTCTAATATCATGGTTTGTTAACCACTGAAATATACTACAAAGATCAAAGGAAAAAGCATTTAAAATAATTTAGCTACTATCATTTGTTAATGAATGTGTGTGTGTGTGTGCGCGTGCGCTCAGTTGTTTAGTTGTGTCTGACTCTTTGTGACCACATGGAGTGAGTCCATGCAATTTTCCAGACAAGAATACTGGAGTAGGTTGCCATTTCCTACTCCAGAGGATCTTCCCAACCTATGGATCGAACCCAAGTCTCTTGTGTCTCCAGCATTGGCAGGCAGATTCTTTACCACTGTGCCGCCTGGGAAGCACAATATAAAAAGAGGAAAATAATGACTTCAAAACATAAAAGGACGAAGTAAAAGGGTGAAACTTTTGTAGATAA